TGCATCTGACTAAACCCATTTCGACAACACCAATTACTATATTATCTATCTATCTATTATTATTACTATGATGGACCCCGCAGAGCCCCAAAGGACCCCCGAAAAGCATTCGGCCCTGTTGAAAAACTTCTCATTCGACGACCGACTTCGGAATCGTATTAAAATCGCCGAAGGGTATAAAAAGACGAGTATGTCCCTTGACGAAGAGACGTCTTCGGCAACCTCCGCCACTGGAGTCAGTGGCGGCGGAGGCGTCGGAGTTTCCCGAAGACTGCTGCAGCAGCAGAGGACGATGGCCGAACCCGGGGATCGAAAAATGTCGAGGGACGCCCTTTATGAAGGAATTTTTAAGAAGCACAGGAGCGCTATTTTTGCTCTGGGAAGTTTTGTTAGAATGCTCAAGAATAAAAATTCGCAGTACGATACTATTAGGAATAATGGTGAGGGGGATGGTGAGAGGGATGAGGTGTGAAAAAAAGGATTAAATGACTTTTTTGGAAGTGCGGTGTTAATGACGACTGCTTGGATTTAAATTAAGTGTAAAATACATTATAAAGCTTGACTAGAGCGAGCAAGTATTTTAGTGGATTTTTATATATTTTAATAATAAATCCTCAATTTATGTGTAATGTATCAATAAGTTTAGACTGTATGATTATTCTATAAGTCCGTTTAATACGACGATATTTTGACAGTGGTTCACAGAGAAAAACACACCGATCAATAAAAAAAACTTGCATTATAAACCAAAAATTGTACATGATTTTGTTTACTAAAAATGTATGTTTTTTTTAAATTAATTATTAAGTTTTGCAAATTTGGTGCTAGAAACTGTACAATTGTTATAAAAAACAAGTCTTTTGATACTTTTGATTTGGACTCGGATAAGACCCATTAAACAAAAAACAAATTAATAAAATAAATTTGTTTTTGATTTTTAAAATCTCAATAATGTTTTTTTTTTAAATCTCAATTTCATTTTTTAACAATTTTTTAATTATAAAATTTTATCTCAAATATGTTTGTTATGTACGTATTTGTATATTGTGTTTATTTTTTAATTATTTGTGAACTTAAAATCATTGTAAATAATTCTTGAAGAAGGATATAAATTGTATATCCGAAACGTATAAAAACAACAGATAAAAGTTACAAAAATAATAATAATGGAAATTAATAAGTTTTGGTACAGCCTAATATAATGTAATGTAATTCCAAACATTTTTGGATAAATATACAAATATAAATTTATCATAAATTTTCGAATATCAAGTTAATTTTAAGATAAATATATAAAAAGTATCGATTTCGACATTCTTTGTTGTTTGTGTAGATTAGTAATAGTAATAATAATTATTATATAATTAGTAGATAATAAAAATTTATATCTTTATAGTCAAATAAATTGTTTAGTTTTTATTCACATTATTAATTTTATTTTATCTACCAATCAAGCATTCAACAATTAATTTAAATTTTATCCTTTGCACTTTTATTTATTTAAATTTATGTTATTATTTATCAATATTACTTGATGTTAATAATTTAGCAGTTGTAATAATTATTGAAATTATACAAAAAAAAAACAATTAATTTTTTTTTCTTATATTTTCTAATGATTATTTTTTATTTTAAATTATACTAGAATATCTAAATTTGTTTACATTATTAAATTACTATATATATATATCTTTATAGCCAAATCAATTGTTTAATTTTTTCACATTATTAATTTTATTTTATCTACCAATCAAGCATTTGATAAATTGGTCTCAAATTTTTCTCATATTTTTAAATTATTATTTTTTCATTTTAAATTATACTACATTTTTAAAATTTGTTTACTTTTAAAATTATTAATATAATGATAATTTGTGATAATTTCCATATTATGCAAGAATTGCAATGAAGGTTTGTTTTTGAAGTGAAGCAATTAGTTTGTTTAAAGATGTAGTATTAAATTAATTATATTTCTTAATAAAAATTTATATTTTTCCAGTCAAATATATCGTCCAAAATTTATTTCGATTCATAAATTCCGCATTAAATATTCGTCTTTTCCAGTTAAATTCGACAAAAATTATTATTTTGTTTTTAAATTATAACTTTAGTTTTTTTACATGTTTTTAAACTTGCTTTTAATTTTGTAATTATCAATTAAGGTAATTTTCTGCTGTAATTTCCACAAAAACATTCCACCTGAATCATATTTTTAAAAATTGTTTTGAATGTTTATTTTCCTCAAGAGTTCAAAGGTTAATAAACCGAAAAATTTGTTCATAATATTATTTATATATGTATAAATGTAAATATTTTATGAATTTGTGACAAAATTCTCGTTTCAGTGGACATAATGTTTCCACAAGGCCGTGACCCCGACTTTTTCCACAAACTCATCGCAATTAGTAAATAAGTAAACAACTAGTTTAACAAACAAATACACATGACCTCCAATAATAATAATAATTAAATTTACTGAAACTATTAGAATTTGTGCATTTTAAATAGAAAATCAAACAATTATTGAACAAGTAGTGTATGTCATGGTGCCTTAGGCAAATTGCTGAAACTTCCCGAATCAAAAATTATATTTTTTAATAAAAATTAAAAAATTTCTTTGAACTTTGAAAAAATTAGATTTTTTGAGAAATTTTACATTTGTGAAAAAATTGATTTTTTTGTATTTTGAAATATTTTGGAAATTTTGAACTTTTTTTCATAGCTTTCGCATTGTTTTAGCTGCATAGAGATGAAATATTGAAGCGCGTAAGCGCCGCGCCGCCGTACAAAAGACAAACGATGTAACGGAACCCATAGAAATGTAAACAAAATTGATACATATTAATAAAATATCTTATAATTTGATGTGCATATGTCTAACGACTAGACCTGCTTTTGCCAAAAACTAATCAGCACGTCTCCATATCAATACAAATCGAATGTTTTTTGAATCATTCAATTCGGTTGATCGGTGTTTCCAAAATCGTCGACAAAAATTTGTATCCGCACACACACACACATCCATTTTTTTCTAAGGTATGCCAAAATGTTCAGAAACCTTTGAAACGTAAAGATCTATAAAAAATTTCATATTCGATTTTTTGCGATTTATAATTACCCACCAAGAGATGAATATATTATACATATATCGTATATAGTTAAGATAAGATTTTCAAAAAACATTTTATAAATACGTTACGGCATATGATATGATGTCATCATCAGTGTATATATATAATTTGGAAGAAAAAGATAATACAAATTAGACGCGTGAACGTGGAAAGCTAATATATAAGGTGCCCCAGAACTCAACGTCAAGCTGAAACACGATGATAGTATTGATAGTCACGTCGAAAAGAAAATTTGTTCATGTAATCTGAAAATTATGAGCTTTTAAGTGCAACCTAGAGCTTTGGTAAAATTATGACCATTTTTCAGTTATTGCAGTTATATTTCATCAATTTTGGAACCGTAACCGTGAATAATATTTCTAGAACCATAGTCAAAAATAATGACAATATCCTCAATTTTTCAAGAATTAATATTTTTTGTTGAATCATGAATTAAAATATTTTAAAATCGGTCGACTATGAAAGGCCTTCCATTTAAAAAATGAACTAAAATGGGTTAGCAAGTTTAGCAAGTAAAATGATAAAATACTTGATCTTTTCATAATAAAAAAAAAATCGAGTAAAAATAAAAACCTAAAAATATCTGATACTGATAATAATGAACTCGTTCTGATTTATTTATAAAGACAAATATTTCTAAAGAATGTTTCAACAGTTCCTTGATAAATAAGATAATATTCCCGAAGCAACAAAGAAAAAGAATAATTACATAAAACATTTAAGAAAAAAATGGAAGTTTTGAGTTCATAAAATTTTCAATTTTAAAATAAAATCAGATAATTGGTGTGGATGGTAATTTTACCAAAATGCGAAATTCCAACATTTGCTTTTGTTTTTTTTTTGCAACAAACTTTGTGCGTTTTTTCTTTTCCGTTGAAAACACATGTCTTCTCTTCATGCATAATTTTATATTTTATGACCTGTGACATAAGCTCATATAATCTAATTATAAACGTGTAAAAAACTCGTATATATATATATATATATATATATATATACATATATATATACACTCAAACAAAATTATTACGACGTTTTTTTATAATACCAGATAAATCCAACATATATAAAAAAACATGACTGCATACATACATACATACATACATACATACATACATACATACATATATATATATATATTTTTGTATGTTCGTGTGGAGGAAAGTAACTAACAAGATTAAATACTTTCTATGTATCATTTTTCCATTATATTGTATCTTTAGATATTGATAAAAATTTCAAAAACAAACATCCGGCGACCGATAAAAAATAGAACAAGTTTTGAGTGGCGTTTTGCCTTCAGCCTTCAATGAAAATAAAAAAAAAGTTAAATAACCGAATTAACAAGAATTAAGGTGGCTATTCGCTCTGGATTTGCAAAAACATTCCAAGAATCAACATTGTTCTCAATAATTGTCCCGATTTAGTATTTCCCGTTGTTATGTATTTATTATTTTTATTTATTTATTTGAATCCATGACAATGTTATGTTCTATTTTTATTTAAAAAAATGATTAAAAAATCATAAATGCCTCTTCACCAATCTTATCACTTTGCAAGACTTGAGAAATGAGAGTAATATCTTTGAAATCAAACAAATACTTTTACTGAAATCGATTCAGAATTTTGTAAAAGAACTAAATATCATAAGTACAGTGATATACCGACATACGACATTATATGCTTTTTAATATTATTTTTTCACCACGCCATTTATATTTTTCGAGAAAACTTTTCGTTCGTATCTCGAATTTTGCTCGTATGTCGAAGCAACAAATCGCTTCTTTGGCGGCTCCTATCTCAAAACATTTGTATATCAAGGTAACTCGTAAGACGGACTACAATTTTAATATTTAAATTATTACTTACGATAACGGCACGATAACCAAGAACGGTCCATTGACTTTCTTCTTCTCCATCAAGTATGTGACGAGAGCAATCGTTTGGATAGTTTTACCAAGACCCATCTCATCGGCCAAGATACCGTTTAAGTTGTTGTTGAACAATGATACTAGCCATTCTAGACCCTTGACTTGGTATTCCTTCAATTTACCATTAACCTGAAAAAAAAAAGAATAATCATTCACATTAATAATAAAAAAAAATATAACCAGGGTAATTTAAGTAAACTAATCAATGCAAGTCTTAATAGTTGTTTTTTTCTTTCGGTATACAAATATTTAAATTGCCAATCAGAATAAAAATCAACCATGAAATGGCTTTTAAACTTTTTAAATCGTTTTTGAGAAAACATCGACGATTTTGTTATACACATTCATATATTTTTTCCAATTTCCACGTCAAATGATTCAAAATAAAAAAAATTAAAAACTAGTTGGTTTGCTATTTAGCCTTGAGGCAAGTTACATGAACTTCCCGATATATTTAAATAATCCGCTTAATCAATAAAAAATAAATTAATTTATGAGTCATTAAAAGTATTCCGAGTGGATTTATTACACATAATTGAAACGAATGAACACTTTGACTCGGAGTATTTTCTAAAAGCAAATTTTCAAAAATCAATAATTTTTATAATTGAACCAGTTTTCAGGACTTTAATGATTTATTATGTTCAAGACCAAGTACTCTATCATTATACCAAGTAAATAGTCTAATTTTAATTTTAACAAATGTCAAAAGAGCTACTCATTTTCTCAAACTTTGATGAATTTTTAAAATTAAACTACTTGTAGTAAGGCCGTAATATTTCAGTAAGTTCTATAAGACCACGGTATATATCGCTAAAAAAAATCCATAAAAATCGGCTAAAATTTTTTTTTCAACAGTTAATTACAAGAAAACGGCTCTGCAGATTTTCACTTAAAACTAATCGGCTTCATTCCCAACTAATATCTTTCGAACAGTTTTTGATATTTTAAAATCGGTTCGGTAGGATGAGCTTAAATGTGAACGAAAAGTTTAACACTTTTTTTTCAAATTACAAAAAAACGGCTTGTCACATCGTCGCACAAAACTGACAAACGATAGTCCTCACCGAAGTACATCAAATGGCTTTTAAATTTCTGAAATCGGTTCAGGCGTTTTTGAGCAAACCTCGATGAAAGTTCTAATTTTGACAAATGCCAAAAAGACCATACTAATTTTTGCAAACTTTGACGAATTTTTAAAGCTAAACGAGTTGTCGTAGGGCCGTGATATTTTAGTATGATCTAGAAGACTATGGTATCTAGCGTCAAAAAAATAATCATAAAAATCGTCGATTTTTTTTTTAAAAAAAACTTTATTACAAAAAAACGGGCCGGCCGATCTCTACCAAAAACTAATCAGCACGATTCCCAACCAATATCTTTCGGACGGTTTTTGAATTTTCAAAATCGATTCAGAATTGCGGGCTAAAACGTGGAAAAATTTTTTTTCACTTTTCTGCGATTTACAAAGAAACGGCTTGGCCGATCGCCGCACAAAACTGAGAAACGCTAGTCCTCATCGAGATACATCAAATGGCTTTTAAATTTTTGAAATCGGTCCAGCCGTTTTCGAGAAAACGTCGATTTACGGCAAAAAATCTGTTCACATACACACACACGTACTTTTTCCAAATTTGGTCTCATTCGATACAGAATGGCTTGAAACATCGAGAAAACATAAAATTAGCGAATCGGATTATTTGATGAAAACATAAACTTCTCCTTCGGGAAGTTAATAAAAAAAATTGAAAATAAAATTAATTTTACTTACCATAATAGATGCTTGCTCAGAAACAATTTCGTGAACAGTATGCGCAATGCTGTAATAAGTTTGTTCTTCAGTTTTGTATTCATCATCTTCAACTTTTGCTTTCGTGATAACCTCTTTAGCTTTTTCCTCATCTGTCTTTTCTTCTTTCTTTTTAGCTGAAAAAAAAACACAAAAAAATTATTAAATGAGGAATTTAAATATAAAACCATTTTGTTCATTTCAATAATCAAAAATCTTAATAATATGCTGTTAAATTGCGATTTTGAACATACAAGTTTATCTGCTCTAAATAGTAGTCCAGTCATTTGGTCGTTTTGCAGTATCTATGTACGAATTAAACTAGATAAAATTTCCTACAATTCTTTAGAAAACCGTTTTTTTGTAAAATTGATAGTTTAAGAGTACGGCCGCCTCTCAAAGAGTAAGTCTTTGCTGCTCTCGCCGTAGTATCAAATCTCTCCATATATGACAGCACTTTGAACTTGACCATATTCTTTCTAATAAATAAATATTTTCAATGTTAAATTAAGCGAATAAGATCTAGAAATAAAATAATTCAAATATTTTTCTGTTTGTATGCTGGTTTTTTAACACTTCAAGCAATTTACTTATAGCTACTTTGCCATTGAAGTGTTAAAAAATCAGCAAAAAAACAGAAAAATATTTGAATTATTATCTTTCTGGATCTTATTTGCTTAATTTAACATTGAAAATATTTATTTATTAGAGAGAATGTGGTTAAGTTCAAAGTGCTGTCATATATGGAGAGATTTGATACAACGGCGAGAGCAGCTAAGACTTTGAGGCGGCCGTACTCTCAAACTATCAATTTTACAAAAAAACAGTTTTTTAAGGCATTGTAGGAAATTTTATCTAGTTTAATTCGTACATAGATACTTTTATCGTAGAATAAGCCAAAAATGAGATATTTTAAAAAAGCTGTTGTTTGACGCCATTTTTCCAATATGGCGGCAACTTGCCGTTCAAATTTGAGGTGGCAAAGTTGATTTTCGTAAAGAGCAACTCGAAATCTATAAGATCACCAATTTTCAGAATTCCCGGAGTACTGTACCGGCAACAGCCTTTTTCTGCACCAAATGACTGGACTATAGGCAACAAAATGATTTTTTCCTTACCTTCTCCTTCCATGTCTCCTTCTTCATCACTACTAGAATCAGAATCGATAATCTGAAATAAAAATAATTATGCATAATTCACATATATCTAGAAATGCATATTCAAGTTTATCGTGTTAAAATTTACCTCCCATCCAGGATGACTTTCGAGCATTCATGCAGCTGACTGAGCATAGGAG